GGCGATGGTGGCTTTCCTCGCCATTGTTGTTATTGTCACCGGAGCAAACAATGAGTTGTAGCTCCGGTGGTATGAAACCAGTAAATTCCCAGTGGCTTTGTGAGTTGGCAATATCTAGCAATGCCTGTCTGTTGTATGTAAGCAGTGCATGACATTTGTGCACTGCAGAAAAAGTAAAAAACACACAAAGAAGAAGAAAACAAAGAAAAAGCTGGCATTCAAGAGTGGAACGCACAAACACGTTCGCTTCGATGGGTGCCATGTTGTGTTACCACTCTCATGGTGCACATGCAGCCTGCCTTCCATTGTTGAATGTTTCACTGAAGCGTTGCATCTGTTTGGACTGAGCATCAGTGTTGTAAGTTAGGTGACATGGTATATTCAGCCATAAGGTCCAAATTAGGAGGATTGGGGTGGATGGCTCAGTACATAAAGCACAGGTGAGCAAGGTTCATCAGTGTGTGATGTTTTTTAAGTAGTTTGTATTCTTAAGTGTAACCATGTTGTTTTTGTTCTTAAAACTAACCAAGTAGTTTGTGTGGTAAAATATAATGAAACATCATGGTTTCATAATCGTAACGGCATGTTTATGACAGTTTCCATGACTACAGAGTTCCATTATGCTTTCCATCATGCTGATTATGACCATAACGATGAAAATCCATAAAGCTTGCCTGTGCGATATATACTGTCATTAATGTAGGTGGAATTCTTGCAATTCTGCCTGCCAGCATTGCCAGCAGCACTAATTCAGGAGATGCTTCTCTGGTTCATATGAGAGGGGAGGAACAAATGACCTAAGTGTGTCCTATTCATTGTAGGACTTGGTGAGCACTGAGGTCACGATCCTCAAAACACAACTGTGCTGAACTGACATGTCATCAGGACTGCTTCCGTATGCCTCACCAGTGCCTTTGTGCAAGGCTGTCGCATCCAAGGTCAACCAAGAAAAGGTGCAGGCACTGTGTCATTACAATAAACACTCTGGAGATCTTAAGACAGGAAAGGCTCACATGCACCGACCTAGAAGGCCTTCACCATTTTTGATTGTTCTTTAAGTGACATCTCTGGTGCCAGAGAATGTTTGCCTGGCCTCACAGCCATACTCAAGCACAACAACGTTACTGGTGATGATGGTCTGTTAAGAGAAGATGTTGGACTTGATTACTTAGAAAAGTAATACTTCAGTAATATGAAAAGTAATATTAATATTTTTCATTATGATTAACTGTTGTGGTGGTTAAAAAATAAACCAGATTCCAGAGGAAATATGTAATAGAACAGTATGTAGCTCATACAGACCTTATTTGGTATTAGCTTATGTAAGTGGTTATATCATTAATACTTAGAATCCTAGTTAAGGCCTAAGTATGGTCAGAGATGAACCCTCTGTTCCTTGGTGAGGGCCTCTGCCAGAGCATTGGGAGTCAACCTTCGTGTCTTCCAGGAAGGCTGCAGAGGGTTCTCAGAATGGAGTGAGAAGGGGGGCCAATAGACGTCAAGACGGACAGAGTCCAGCTGTTGGGAAGTAGCTATTAAAGCTGATAAAGGAGTGAGCCTAAGAGAGAGAGGAAGAAGAACCATGCTACCGTGAGCAGTGTACCACCAGCCCAGCCTCGGAGGGCTGGTGGGAGACGACGACTGACTGGGGC